TATGTAATGTTATGTAATGTTATGTAATGTTATGTAATGTTATGTAATGTTATGTAATGTTATGTAATGTTATGTAATGTTATGTAATGTTATGTAATGTTATGTAATGTTATGTAATGTAATGTAATGTAATGTAATGTAATGTATGTATGTATGTATGTATATATATATGTATATATATATCATGTCTATACCAAAAAGAATTCTAAAAATGAAGGATATTTGTAGAACTTTTTAGATATCTGTAGTCCCTTGGGCCCGAGATTTTGTTCATGTTTGACCCATTCAAGGTTGAGCATCCCTCTCACAGTGATGTCTCTGCAAGATCTGTTGGAGCCTTAAATGCCACCCAAAGGGGTTTGAAAGAGACACTGAGGTCATTCAACTCGAAATTTCCAGCAGATGGCCACCCGATTTCTTCTGATTTCTAAGACTAGACAACGTTAATGCGATTTGTTGATAGGTTTGAGAGAGAGACAGCGTCCAAACCATCCCTGAGTGAAGTTCAGGGAGCCCTGGATGTTGACCGCAGACACTTGTTTGACAGCCATAATGTTCAAGCCATAGATCAGATTCAACATGCAGCGCTGCCAAGTGCGCAGAATCCTTCTTGCAGCGGCATGCATTCAGATTCTGCGATCGCTATTTTGCGCTCCAGTGGATTTCCTTGAAATCAAGCTTCCCTCCACGCGGGGTTCCCGACGACATCTCTGGAGCCTTTGTGGGATTGCCACAGTGAGCTCATCCGCTGGAGCAGTTGACTCAGGGCCCACCTTCCGCACCCTGCGAAAGCCGCCAGAAATTCCCGTGGCGACAGCTGTGATTTTACTGCGGACTACGCAGGAGGCGGCACTGGATTGGGGTGGGCCGTTTAGCAAACCTGGCCTATACCAGACAAACTTCAATAAGAAGCGCACGGAAGGACTGGGCTTCAGGGATTCCAGGGATTCCAGGGATTCATTTTCAAGGTTTTTCGCCACATAGATCTGGAGTGTATGAAAGTTGTGCAGCGTTTCACCACGACAAAACAAGAGCAGACAAACGGCAGATATCTTGGCGAAACCATGCTGCAGTTGGTACTCGTATAGAGGGAAAGTTTGATGCATTCCACAATGGAAGCCAGCAAGTGGCAAGAGCATTATCCTTTGATTCTCTGTAAATTCTACTGTAGATATCATATGGCTTTGTTAGTTTGACTTGATATGTTCTAAATGCAACATGTCGCATGCAAGGGTCTCCAATGTTGGTAGCAATCATGTCCATCAGGCGATGTGACATGATGTTTTTACCTTGAAGGATTTGCAGATTTCAAGCAGCGCTATGCCACCTATGACCTGTCTGGTCTTTTTAACCAGATAGAATTGCTGGATAAAGATCCGCGCACCAATCGATTGTATTTTTCCTTTTTGAATGAGGTCCAATTTCGAACTCTGCAAGATGGCATTAAACGCCGGGCAGAACAAGAAAGGTTTGGTTTCAATGTTGGGACACGGCTATACCGAAAGATTCTGCGGGGGGATACCGTGGGACCACGGATCCTGAACGAGGGTGACACCTACGACCCCAAGGCTCCGGTGAACATGTCCTCGCCCCTTTCGGGACAGTGGCCTCCCTTGTCGCCACCGTTGCCCACGGGAGCTTTGGCCACGGATTTGGCTGAGGGGAGCCGGCGTCTCATGGACTACCTGCGTAAGCAAGGATACTGCAAGGCCAGGGTGGATGGGGGATGTTTTCACAGGTTGTATAACATTTATAACATTCTATAATTAGGTTTGATCATGTTTGATCCCCTAGCTGCTATAGGCATCAGTTCTTGTTGTTCCTGCCCTTTGCCACAGACCTGAGGACTTTACCTTGTCAAGCTTTGCACCTGAAAAGGATGGACGTTTGCGATTTGAATCATCCGTCCTCGAGCCTGTCAACCTGGAAGCCACGTCTACGCTGATGCGAAGTCGAGGCTTTCCACCCCGCTATCATCAAAGGATCCTGCAGGCCTACTTCGCAGACCGCGGTTTTGACAGCGAATTTGATGATGAGCTTAGTGGCGAGGCCAAAAGCAATGGCAAATCCTCAGTTTCGGGTGTCCGCACGAACTGGGTGCTTTCACCTGATCCAGATATAGGCCTTGATTGATTTCGCTGACACAGGCTCTCTGTGGCCCCGCCATCCCAATCCATTCAATCATTTTCATTCGAGTAGTAGACCCTTGTACAGGCGTATTGGACTTGAAGAAGTCATGCGAAAAAGTCCTTGCATCAGGCCTTTGAGGAAACGCCACATCATTCACCTGCTACACATCTTCCAGTCCACTGCAGCTGTTAAAGTCACAGAGACCTGCAGTTTGCCGAGGAAAGCGGTGGAAGCCGACAGAAGATGGAGGCCACCAAAAGCGGTGGTTCCAACACCAAGGCCCGTTTTGTATTGTTAAACATGTTAAAACCAGCAAAGGTTGGCACATCGATGGCGTTAAGATCATCATGGCGCCAGACTTTGTGCCAGGCATCTGGATCAGAGGAGTCGCCTCAACAACAACAGAACAAGCAGGTTGGAAGCCCACAGACCGGCTGATTTCGGGTGGAAACATGTGATGCCTTGGGATGCCTTGGCGACAGGTTCCCATTGTTTTTGCTGGGAGCGAGTGTGAGAAGGATGAAGATCAGGTATCTTGGCCCGTGGATTTTCTTGCTGTGCTTGAGCCTTCAGTCTTCTTCCTGCGCGAGTTCCCAACATAGGTGATGTGATGTGTTAGATATCAGCAATGTGGATACATATGGACACCCATTTCAACCCCCACCTATTGGATATGCCACTTTGGGCATATCAAGTCTCATATCAAATGATATCAATTTGTGGGCACCCATACCAATCCATATCGAATCCCCTATCAACTCCAGTCTGCCAAGCCCCAAAACGCAGATATTGGCTATACTCACCCCCAAATGTCACCTCCTTGTCGAGTTTTTTGTGGGTCCCTGAGAGGATGGCTAACAAATTGCCCGAGATTGGGATAATCTAATTCAAACCCATCAGGTAGTGCGACAGTTGGTCGTTGATTTTGGGGGGTGACATTTTTGACACATCCCAGGTTTAACATGTTTCAACGTGCTTTAAGCCGCATTCTTTAACGCCTTGTTTCTCTGGTCCAGTGGAGATTTCTCCCCAACTGAACGAAGGATCTGATCTTCTGCTTGAACGAACTCTTGAAGCTCCAAGTGTCTATTGCCAGCTCCCTGGAAGTGGCCTGTTTGGCCTTTCGCCATGCGGACGGGGATGGCAGAGTTGGGGGGCTGTGGGGGCCGAAGCATGGGTCAAAGTGAGTACTGTACATACTCTTCCCAAAAAATCAGACGGTTGAAGCAAGAGAAATGGCATGGTACCCATAAACTATGGGGATTTTAATGGATTTTAGCAGCGGAATATCATTCAATATCTAAATATGGATAGATGTGGGAGATGCGATACTGCCGTTGAATACCACGACAAATGAATGGTTCCCTGGCCTGACATTTTCACTCATACCGACTTATACCCTTGTCATCCCTTGTCTAGCTGCAGCTGTGGCAGTCTGGGAAGTTTGGGGTTTTGATAGCTGGCAGTGTTGGAGTCAAACACGAACGAAATTCAAGGGAATTTCCAAAGTCATCGTAGACATACAATAACCATCAACAACCTACATGTTCAATCCGCCGATCGCTCTTTGTTTTTGCTGTTTGCCTGGCAAATGCCTCTTGGAGAGGACCGAGACTTGTCTGACAACATTCGGCGAGCATTCAATGAGGCTCGCTGTTCTTTGGTGTGTGCGTACACATGTCCATTATATCAAGATGTTGGCAACAGCCTTCGAAAACATGAGCACCCTCGGAACCAACGGAATTACACATGCCTATCCCAAAGTTTGGAGGCGAATATTTCACCCAGTTCCGCTTGTATATGATCTTCATAACCATGATATACCATGATAAGATGGATTTGGTTTGAACATAGGATACCCACAGTTGGTTTGTGCATTGCCAGAATCTTTCCCATTGAAATTGCCATATTGGGATAGATATATCATATCTGATTTTTGGACAAACCTGTGCTCACTGTGCTCCCTGTCCAGGCGAACAAGCTGTCTTCCAAGGCAGCAACAGTGGTCTCGAACTATGCTCAGGTGGCTCAGCAGGCGCTGCGAAAAACCCCCCAAAAAATGTCGCGAGTTGAAGTGGCAGTCTTTGCTGCAAAATGCGAAGAAACTTAATGACGTGTGGCTGTGAAAATTATGGATGAATGGGTGAAAACAGTGAAAACAATACCAATTACTTAGCAATGATCTGCTCATTGCTGATATTACCCATACTATGGGCCTGCTCATTGCAAATCAACCATGTCTTGGATTGAGTAGGTTCAAGGGTTAATCTATGTTAATCTTCTAAAAACACCTCGAAGAACTGTGGGAATGCCCAGCAGGTGAGTCGGAACATTCTCCCTGACCTGAAGTTGGCGATCCAGGAGTCAGTCATGTTTCACCATTGATGTATACCAAAAGGATCACAGCTGGCGGTGTCAAACCATCCCTTGGTGAAAGATGAGGTGAGGGAATGTGAGGGACCTGGTTTGAAGGGCTCAATGGCTGTAGCGAGTTTCTAGTGGCTGGAGCGCTTTCTGAAGGAAAAAGAGCCCAATTTGGCCGTGAGTCTGTGACGGTCCCAGCGGCTCATGTGAAGCGTGATGATTTCAAATGATACCCTCTGGTTATTTAACGTAGCCATGGAAAATTGCCCATTTATAGATGGTTTACCTATTAAAAAATGTGATTTTCCATGGCTATGTTAAATAACCAGATGATACATCCTTGGTTTGCTGTGAACTGACTGCCACAATCCTGCCACAATCCTGCGAAGTGTCGAGCATACCTTTAGGAACCTTTAGGATATGCCGGATGGACTTTAGCCACTGGCACAATTTAACTGCTTGTCGCTTAAATATCCCACTAAAAGCTAAGCTGTTCGCATGGGGAT